TAGGGTCAAGGATAGAACCTTAAGGAACACCTCAAGTTACAGAAAATGAAGAAGAGTCCTTTCCATCGAGGACAACTTTTATACTTTGATTGGTATGGAAGGAATAATTTTAAAGATGTTACCTGATAGACAGTAAGAGAAGAGCTTTTGTAGAAGACCAGCATGCCAAACTTTATCAAAGCTTTTAGAAATTTTAGGAGCAATAGCCCTTATCTCTTCACACCTATCTAATGCTCAATCAAAACTAATTAATAGTGTTGTTATCAACTTCAACTAAATCAACTAAAAGTCGACTTGTCAAAAGTCAAAATCAGTTGACTTTTGACAAATCGACTGATTTCGACTTTCTTACATGTTAAGACATTGTTTTATAGTTTTATAAGAGTTTTAATTTATTTTTCTTCTTGAAAAATATTGTTGATTTAATCGACATCCTACTAATCGATTATAAGTTGATTTAGTCTAGTAAAATTTTTAAAATCCTTATATTTTTTTTTTATTCGATTTAACTTTTCAATCTTTAATCTTTGCTTGTTCATTTAATAACAATAGTATGTAATGTTATAACTTTTATCTACTTTTTTGTTTACTCTCTCGAAGTTTTATCTAATTCATAGCATGTTAACATTATTTATATCTAATTAAACTTTCAATTATGTATTTCATTAATTTTTTTATTTTTATTTTGTTTACTAATACTTTCATTCAGCTTTGCTCCAAGTTCCAAGCTGGCAAAATTAAGTTCCAACCTCCAATTAAATTAACCTCCCTTAAATGAAGCTCCAACCTCCAGCTCCAAGCTGGCAAAATTAAGTTCCAACCTCCAATTAAATTAACCTCCCTTAAATTAAGCTCCAACCTCCAGCTCCAAGCTGGCAAAATTAAGTTCCAACCTCCAATTAAATTAACCTCCCTTAAATTAAGCTCCAACCTCCAGCTCCAAGCTGGCAAAATTAAGTTGTGAAGTTCCAAAGTCTAAATGTCATTAATCTATACTATCACATTGTAAATATAATTGTAATGACTTTTTGATATATAGCAATTATTTAAGGCCTAAATCATTGTCATCTGGAAAAAGATTGTTCCGTTTTCGGAGCGGCCCTTCTCTTATATTGTTTTGCTTCATTATTATTTAAAAAAAGTGATATTAAAAAATAGAAAGCGAATATAAATCACTTTATTATTTTTTTATTCCAAAAATTTAAATTATTTCCATACTTCAACTAAATTGACTTTTAGGTTTAGTCGATTTCAAAAATGTATTAGTAGATTAGTAGTCAATTCAAAGTCAAAGTCAATTTTAGTTTTTAATTGTCAACAATATATTAATTTATATATTAATATATTAATATATACAACAATATATTAATTAATATATCAATAGTCAACAATATATTAGTCGATTTACTCAACAATCTTAACAACACTACTATTTAGTTATTACCGTTGTTCATGAACCCTGTTTAAATAAAGATTAATTTTTATGCGCATATATATATATTATGACTTTAAATAAAGACATTATTTTTATGCGCATATATATATTATGACTTTTTTTATTAGTAGTATTTTAAGCTACATATTTACATATCTATAGTTACATAAGTTATATATTTACATAACTTTTTTCCCTTATTCCTTAAGCAAATTTAAATTAACTTAAAACTAAACTTCAAACTTAACTGAAAAAAATGTCAAAAAAACAACTTAGAAAGTAAAATTGTAAAACTATATTTAATAAATTTAAACTTCACATAAGTTAACATAACTTTACATAAAATTTGAATAAGGTAGATGTTTGCATACACTTTTGTTCATATATTCTTGTAAAAAAAATACTGACTCTTTCTCAGCATTAACTCAGCTGTTATGAGTTCTGTGCAAACATACACAAATAAACATTAAGTTAAGTAATATATAATATGATATATATCTGTAGCATATAATATATATACTCTGTCTGAGAGAAAATGACTATGGCAATATATATAACTTTTGTAATATATATACATCATGAAAGTAAATTTTTTTGAGTGCTAGTTTAAAAATAATTATAGTACTAGAAAGAAGTTATAACAGAATATTTTTCAGAACTTTTTTAAATTGATTTTGATTAAGATGAAGAAAAGATGACAAAGGAGTAGCATAGAAATCATTCAAATTTCTACTAAGATTTAGTTACTGAATACACGGTCTTTTTTTCTCAAGTCAATCTAACATTCCAAACTTCAAAGAACAAACAAAGAATCAACCTAACTGGTTCACCAAAGAGTTAAGAAATTTTCTGTCGAAATTTTCCACTATATATTTTCCGCCAATAAATCTTATGGGATTCTTGAGTTTAATCTTAAGTAAAAAAAAAAGTCAAAAGAATAAAAAAAAATCAAATTAATTAATAAAAAATCAAATCATAATGTTTTATACATCATAATGTTTATTGTTTATTTATTATTTGTCTAAATATAAAATTATACATAAAATTCCTTAATTGAAAAAAGTTTATATTAATTTTATGCAAAAAGGAATTTATCAGATTCCCTTAAACAGACCCGATTTAGAAGTTAGTAGTATGTCGATGCTACTGATCACATGAACTATATCCAGACCAAAACCAATAACACGCATACAATTAGTTAATGCCACTTCCGACGAAATAACGGTCAACTGCAGACTTAAAATCTTTAATTGTTTTAGCGTTTATCGCTTTCTGAGGTAGGTTATTCCACATTTTAACAACTCTATATGTAAAGAAATTTTGTCGCTGTGGAAATTTGTGCGCTAAAGTACACATTAATCTTTCTCTACGGCCTTAAGTGTGACCCGCTGGACCTTCAATTCTAAGTGAGCAAGCTGCTACTGGTTCATTTTACCAAGTGATGAGATCAAAACCACAGGTAAACTTAAAATATTGAATAAGATCAGCTTTTGTTCTTCCTAATTCAAGTGCTGTTAAACATAGTCTTTTGAGTCTTACATCGTGTGGTAAGTGTGCTATTTTAGATATAACTTTTGTTGCTCTTTTTTGAATGCGCTCAAGAGTTCTTATATCCTTTTTAAAATAGGGTGACCAAGCTTGTGTAGCAAACTCAATGTGTGGGCGGATGTAGGTTGTATAAAAAGACTTCCAGTGAGATAACCTACTTTTAAATGTTTTTTTTAGGGTACCAAGTACTTGATTAGCTTTAGCAGCAGCTGCTTCGACTTGATTTTTTTGTTTAAGGTCATCGCAAATCAAAACTCCAAGATCTCTCATTTTTTTAAATTTAATTTTAGATGCCATTTTTCACACGATAGGACTTTGTTATCTATATCTTTTTATTGTAGATTAGCATCTTCTGGCGTCTTAATAACTCCGATTATCTTAATATTGTCAGCGTAGAGTTTTATAGAATGATGTATATGGTTAGGTAAATCATTGACATAGAGAACAAACAAAAGAGGGCCTAGTACAGAACCCTGAGGTACACCGCTAGTAACGTCTTTCCATTCAAATATAGAATCACCCAATACTACTCTTTGTTTTCTGTTTTTGAGCCATGCTTCGATCAATGCAATCAATTGACTTAGTATGCCATATGCTCTTATTTTATGAATGAGTCGGGGATGGGGCACTTTATCAAACGCTTTCTCCAAGTCAGTGTACACTATGTCAACTCGATAATTACTTTGTATGGCTTTTGTAACAATGTCCAAAGTTTCAAGTAAATTGGTAAAACATTCTTTTTTTAAGATGAAACCGTGTTGAGATATTGAGATAATATTGTTTTCCCTACAGTGTTTCATAATTGCTTCACTTTCTATAATTTTACTTAAAATAAATGTTAACGAAACTCCTCTGTAATTTGAAGCTTCTAATTTATTGCCTTTTTTAAAAATTGGAAAAATATTTGCCATTTTCCACATATGAGGAATTTCACCACTTTTCAGTGAAGGAGGATAGATAATTGTTAATGAAATCGCAAAACTTTTTGCACAGTCTTTGAGCACTCTAGGATGAATGTTGTTGTATCCCATTGATTTTGTTGTATTTAATATTCAATTTGTTTTTGAACAATTTCTTCGGTTATTAGTAGCTCCATTTCTGTGTTGTAGAATGCTTTTGTTTGTTGTTGAAAATCTGGAAACTAGATGGCTCTTCTTCAAATACCGAAAAAAATAATCGTTTAACATATTGCATATCTTGTTATTATCAATAGTAGTTAAATTATTTTTGTCTTTTAGAGTGCGAATTAATTGTCGATCTGTGTGTTTGTTTTGGATGTATGAATGAAATACTTTTACATCTGATTTGGCTTTTTCAACTAACTGCTCCTCGTAGTTTTTTATTTCTCTTTTTACAACTTCTTTAACGCTTTTACAAGCAATTTTATATTTGACTTAAATAATATTTTTATGTGCATTGTTCCTTAGCAGAGATATATTTTGCCCATAATTTACGTTTGTTTCTCAGCTTATTTTTTACTTCCGGCGTAATCCATGGATTCTTTTCTTCACATTACTTCATCGATTTTTGCAGAATGAATTTTTCATATTTGATAATGAGTAAGTTGTAACATGCATTGACTGATAGATCTTTGAATAATTCAACCCAATTTATTGTACTTAAATGTTTGTTTATTTCTGCATAATTTCCCCTGCTCCATATATAACAACTCCTCGAAATTCGAGACTTAACAATGTTATTTTTTATAGTAATGCTAAATTCTAACATAAAATGGGCACGTCCTTGAAGAGTACTGCCAAGCGGTGCATTACACGTTATATCTGAGATACAATTAGGGGTATATGACATATGTTTTTATTAGTCATAGCTTAGAATCACAGGTTTTATTAGTTACAGTTTAGAATCACAGGTTTACTTAAACCTGTACAAATCCAGATACTTGCTATTATTGCAAATTTGTATTTTACAATATAATCAAAATAATTTTTTTTTAACCAACACCTAAAATAGTATGTGTTACTTTTTAAAGTTTTTTTTTTTTGTTAATCTTATGTAGACTGGATGAAGATGGAAAAATACTTTCACCTGATGAAACTTTATATAGAGTAAGTTTTTTTTTAATATAATTTATTTATTTAAAAAAAATTCAGTAAAAATTGTTTCTGTGATTGTTTCCAGCCAGCAAACACATCTATTTATGGTCACATCTTGTATATACATGTTTTAAATTTATTTTATCAATCTTAATAATGATGTGTTTTAAATATCTTAAAGCGATTGTGCAGTTTAAACAATTGTGTACATAATTTATGAAAGTTATATTTATTTATAATTTATGAAAGTGTTGCTTAATTTTAAAAAAGAAATGTAAAGTTTTTAGAAATGTTTGTAGTAATAAATAACTCTGCACTAATAAATTTACATAAGTGGCAGTAAATTTGCATAAGAGACAGAAGTTTGCATAATAGACAGAAATTTGCATAAGAGACAGAAATTTGCAGCAACAAATAGTTTAATTTTCTTTATATTAAAATTTGTTCAGGTTACAGTAAAATCAGTATTTTTTAAAAAAACAGTAACTTTTAAGACACTGTTTTGTCTTAAAAGTTTTACTATTTATAACTAGAAAAACTTTAACTGTTTACATTATCACTCTAAAAAAAATGAGAGATATTTCTACCCTTTAATTTTTCATTTTTTGTTTATTATTTATTTTACTTTTATGACACGTGAGTTAGTAAATTAAAAATTGACAAATAAATGTAAAAAAAAATTGTAAATGACAAATCATTATTTTTGATATAATTTTCTACCTCAGATAGCATTAAATTACTAGTCTTACTAGTGGTATATCATAAATCCTACCTTAAGTAAAAATTTTTCCTTTTTTTTATCTACACTTAAAGTACATTCAAAGTAGCATGATCAAAATAGTAGGACCAAAGTAGCAAAGGAATTTATTCTATTAATTATAAAGAATTGATCCTAGATCCTTCATGCGTCCACTATCTGCTTTTACTTTTGTCACTTTCAAGGTTTTTTAACTTTTAGATAATCTTAATATATTTTAATATGCTTTAAATTTAAATTTTTTTATATTTTTCAGTATGCAGTAAATTTAAAACGCTAGTAAATGTTAGCGGGTCGTTTAAGCGAAAAGTTTAATAGCAAAAAGATGTTGAAGCAAATTTTTTCTTTATTGTTGTTATTTTTTTTTTTTTTTTCAACAAAACAGCCTAGTTTTTATTTTTATTTTTTTTTAATTATTGCATTGAATTATTTTTTATTAATAATTTAAATTAATATTTTAGCAACAACTTTATATTATTAATTTTACTACTTTAAGTATACTAAAATATATATTAAGTTCAATTTTATTAAAAAGGTTTTCTCTTGAAGTTATTGAATGATAAATAGAAACTTTTTCGCTTTAACGTTTTTTGCTTTAACTGAACTGTTTAAGGTTTTGCATTTATAACATTTTTTGATGTTTTAGTATAATTTATAAAAAAATAAAATTAAATTATCTTTAAATTAGTTGATTATTTTTGTTAAATTATAGGCTGTACAATTAATAAATGCCCAACATGATGAAGCACATTCAAATAATGATGCCAAGGTGATATTTTTTTTTATGTATTTGTTGGTTGTATTACTATTTTCTTCTCTAAATTTAAATACAGTTTTGAATTAATCAAAGAGTTCAAAGAAAATGCTCAATCTCTTGGAATCAAATTCAAAATGCTGGTTCTCATGCCTAAATTCAATGGAACAGTTGAAAATGTTGCTGGTTCTCATGCCTAAATTCAATGGAACAATGCCTTGAAAATGTTTTTTCAATGACATAATGTCATCTATCAAAAAACCTCTTTAAACATTTGGACATCTAAGCTTGATTATTTAGAAACAAGTATTTCTAAATTATTTTCAACTTTTTGACCATGTAAAATGGCTATGACTAACTATGATTGGTGGTGATTGGCTATGATTGAATGCCATGAATGGCAAGGATTATGACTTTACCATTGTATTGAAATTTTTATTGGAGGAATTGTGAATTGAGGAATGTTTTATCCATTGTCGTTTGATTTTAAAAAATTTGAATTTAAAAAATTCTTAAAAGAGGTTCAACTTAATTGTAAGTCTGCTTAAACTTCTTATTCTTGAAAACCAAGACCCCATTCTTGCTCTCATTAAGTAAAGAAACTATTGAAGAAGCGAAAGGACTCTGGCATAAAAATTTTTTCAGTTTGTTCAAGATTTCAGAAAATATCATCTTTTATAAAGAGAGAACTGAGACAAAAAAATCCCCGAAATTCTAAAAGTATACTTAAAAAGTTGTAAGCGTTGTTGACATCAATTATTTTGTAAAATGTGTAAAAAAAGTTTGTAAATTTGTATAAAATTGTTGTACTGACAATATTTTTATCACATCATAAAATGCAGAGCAAGTTTAATGTTGTTTACTTATCCAACACATCTTAAAATAAAAAATGTAGAATCTTGTAGGTAGGCAAATACCCATTTCTAAAAATATTTAAAATATGATATTACTTTAAAAAGTATTGAAAATAATAAAGTTTTTATAATTGGTTTTTAATCATTTAATTAATAAAAGAATTTTGTGTCTTTTTAATGACACAACAAGCTCAGCAATTCAAGTCTACCTTATTTTCTCTAATAACTTGATCCAGCTGACTTTTTTAGACAACAACTTTTTTTAAAATAGCATTATTATTGTTGTTGTTAAAATTGCCCCTATAAGGGTTCTTCATTTTCTGCACTCATATTTTTTTTATGTATATATAGTATATATTTTTATGCATATATAGTAAGGTTCTATTACTTTCTACCACAACTTTTCTACCACAACTTTTTTATAAATTATTTTTGTTGTTGTTGTTGTTTGGACTTGAATTGATTTTAAGAATTGTTGACATGCTTTGTTTTGGAAGACCATTAGTGAACATAACTTAAGTATCATGGTCCCAACCAGCAAAGGTAATCTGCAACTAAGCTCAAAATAACTTATCAGATTGACAGGATCACTACAGCATGTTAACTCCTGCTTTAACTAATGTATTTATGAGTCATCATGAAAACATTTGGTTACAAATAATAATTTCTAAAAAATAGCTTAATGCAAAAGATATATTTAGATGATGTCTTTTGTGTCTTTACAATAATGATGCACACAACTTTTCCAAACCAACAGAGAAAATCTACTCACTCAGCAATTAAATGCAAGCTCAAGTATTTAACCATTTACTTTCTATTTGAAATGCAAGCAGAGAATTTGAAAAATATTATCAAGCTTGGTATTGGGTTTTTATTGGTATTTTTATTGGATTGAGCAAAAGTGATTTGAATCGAGTCGAGTTTTCATGTTGTAAACTACAATGGAAGTGTCTATATTAAAATATTTTTTACTGTTAAAAGTTTTCAACACTATTTACAAGCAAGGTGTCAAAGGTGTAGCAGGGTGATGCGCTTTTTTTAGAACTTTATTATGTGTAAGCTAAATAACAGTCAGATTAACTAGTCTATAAATACATGCTAAAATTACTTTTGATTTAACAGAATCAAAAAAATTGGAATCTCTTTTAATTTCATTAATAAGACAGTTAAATGGCAGAAGCAAACAATCAGCAATACACGGTTTACATAATGTTGAAGTACAAAGTTGAAGTAAAATTTGTTCTGTCCAAATATGACATTTAAAACATTAAAAATGTGTTGCTAATAAAATGATAAAATAACGTTCCACATTTTTTCTTACCCCTCCTACATGGTCTATTTCCTCTTGCATGGTCTACTTTCTCTTTTCCTTTCCTCCTTCTCTTTATCAGTTTTTATTTTAAATAAAAGCAAATATATATATATATATATATATATATATATATATATATATATATATATTATATATATATATATATATATATATATATTATTAAAAGCAGTATATATATATATATTTTTTTTTTCTTTAGAATTAATTTTTAATTGTTTGTTAGCATTTAAATATTTTTGTTTAGCTTTGTTCTCTTATCTGTTATGGTTTAAAGTAAGTATGTTTTATGTATGTTTTAAAGTAAGTGATTTTTGTTTTAAAAGTCTCATGTTATCAGCCTTTAATAACTTTCTCTGTTATTGTTAAGTTTTTAATTATTTTTTTTTAGTGTTAAATAACTTTACTGTTTTTAATAACTCTTTTGTTTTTTCAATGTTTTATAACTTTTACTGCTATTATTGTTTTTTTCTGTTTAATAAAATATGTAATAAAACATGTTCTCATGTAATAAAACATGTTCTCATGTAATAAAACATGTTCTTGTTAACTTAGTGAGCAGGTCTTGCACTCATGGTTTGAAGTTTTTTGTGTCACAAAAGAACTTTCAGAATTGTGGTGAGTTTGTAATAATTTTTATATATAATTGTTAAATGTAATTTATTAAGTATTAATGATAATATTTATTAATAATAATGTTTATTAATAAAATAAGTATTTTAATAATAATTTTTATAAATATATGTCCTATAATATATTAAGTGGTGAAACAAGTGCCAGACATTCACTCTCCTCTGACAATTCTTAAGACTTGCTAGAGGAAGGCAACCAACCATTTCTTATTTTGTCAGATAAAACAAGCAATGGTTGATTGCCTCCCTAAGACAGATCTCTGAAATGCTCCAAGGAGGTTGATATCTGGCACTTATTTCAACCCCTGATTAACTAGTAAAAAAAAAACTGTTAAAATAAATTTTTAAAATTTTGATTTTAAATAAAAATCAGTTGCTTGTTATGTGAAAAAAATCTATTAAGTGTTAAAAGTCTAAATCAATTTTTACAGTTAATTTCTCTGTCAGACATGTTTATCTGTCAGAATGTTTGTCTTAACAACCTCTTTTAGATACAACAATCCACATTTATAAGTTTTTTAAAATTTTTCTTTTTCCACATAGGAAACACTTTCTGGGCAAATTTTTTGATGTCAGTTAAGTTTTTAGAATTTCAGGCAAAATCACTTCTGACCAGAAATGATTTTGTGTTATAGAGCTGATTTACAAGTTACCTGTTTGTTTGTTTTTGTTTTTTTTAGTGCTTTTATTTGTTGTTCAATGGTGTATTAGGGAATTGTCATGTTTTCTGTGTTAAATATTCATTTTTTTGAATTTGCGACCGATTGTCAATTGATTTACTCCGAAGATTTTCTATTGGTCTTCTCGAGCTTTGAACCAGAACGCTTTTTATCAGAAAATTAATGAGTTTTAAGTCAACCTAAATTGTGTTTTGTGAAATGTAACATTTAGATTTTTTTTTCAAAAAAATTCTCAATCTGATGCTTTTTTATTTCATTTTAAAGAATCTCGTTCTGCATTTTACCTCATTTTAAAGATTCTTGTTCTGCTGCATTTTACATCATTTTAAATAAATTTGTTTTAAATATTAAAATAAACATTTCATAGGTTTTTTTATCCACATTGGTCCAACTATTGTTTGATTAGTTAGAAAAATTAAATTAAAATTTCCCAAACAACTTTATGCATCACTCGTTAAATATATTATTATATTTTTTAAACATTCGTTCTTTTTCAACACATTTACCCATTCAAATTATTGAAATTAAATATTTAATTTAATAAAAAGTAAAAAATAATTGTAAATAAAATATATTTATAAAAGTGAGTTTTTTCTGTCCTCACCCTTCTCTTGCTGAGCATAACCAAAGTTATCAATTATAAATCATTTTTCACTGGTAACAACTTCATTACTATAATTAATACCAATTAACAGGTACTAACTGTTTTTGGTTAACCAGTTAACTAATACTGTTAAGATGTGTCATAACTAATAACACTGCTACCAATGGTTCTGTTACCAACAATACTGTTATTATTGAATACTGATTTTTGTAAGTTTATAAAGTTTAACTTTTCACATTGCACTCCAAATAATATCCTAATAGTATCCGTTGTCGAGGATGCTTTCCTGCAATAGTTGTGGTTCCTAAGCAAGCAAGTTTTACAATTTAATTTGGAAGTTTATTTTTATAAAAATTTGCAATTTTTTCATTTTTATAAAAATTGCAAATTCATTTAAAAATGAAATAGTGTTTTAGATAGCATTTAAATTTTGTGTATTTATTTGTATATATATATATGTATATATATATATATATATACATTTTTTTTATAAGGTATGAACCCTATTCATATATAAGAAGTCCTGGTTTTTTTAATAGTGTTTTAAATAGCATTTAAATATTTTTGTATATATATATATATATATATATATATATATATATATATATATATATATATATATATATGTTTATTTATTTTTTTTTATAAGGTATGAACCCTATTCATATATAAGAAGTCCTGGTTGGATACAAATTAAATATGAACTTTTGTAAGTTTTACATTTTTTAATATTACTGTTTATTATTTAAAAATTTTGTAAAATGACACATTTTTGTATTATTCCACTAATGGATGATAAAAAGTCTATACAACAATCGATATAACAATCGATATAACAATCGATATATAACAATCGATATATAACAGTCGATATATAATTATCAATATATAACAATCGATTTAACAATTGATATAACAATCGATATTTAACAATCGATATATAACAATCGATATAACAATCGATATATAACAATCGATATATAACAATCAATATAACAATTGATATAACAATCGATATATAACAATCGATATATAATTATCAATATATAACAATCGATATAACAATCGATATAACAATCGATATATAACAATCAAATGCTTTTATTAACTTCTGATCAATTCTGATAAGTTCTGATAGAAAATAAATTCTGATAGTTCACTTTTTAATTTTCTCATCTATTTAGTTTGATAAATATAACTATAATTTATCTTAATAAAGTCAATTGCTGATTTTTTTTTGTTTCACTTTTTATCCTTCTATAATACAATTTTATTGTGTTGCTTAAACTTTACTTTAAAAAAACTGAAGTATTTTGTTTATTTTTGTTGTTGTTTTTTTTTTACGTTTTATATGTTTAGAATTTTAAATTTGATGATGGTTATATAGTTTATGGAAAAGAAATTTATTTTTCTTTATTTGTTTATTTTTTCTTATTTTTTTTTTTTTAGAGTTTTTTCAAAGTTTTCCATCAATCTTTAACTTGATTATTTTTTTTATTAGAGTTCTTTCAAAGTTTTCCTTCAACCTTTCACATGATTATTTTTTTTATTAGAGTTCTTTTAAAATTTTCCTTCAACCTTTCACTTAATTATTTTATTTATTAGAGTTCTTTCAAAGTTTTCCTTCAACCTTTCACTTGATTATGAAATTAATGAGAAGAAAAATGTAAGTTTTATTTTATTTTTTTTTTCCTTTTTTTTTTTTAAATTAAAAAAAGACTTCAAAAATTAACAAAATTTTTTATTAATAAACAAAATTGTTAACTGTACAAAAATTATTTTTGACACGTAATGAGGTTTCATTTTATTGATTTTATTGATAACTTTGTTTTTTAAGCTAATCGTTGTTTGAGTTATTTTTAATTCGTTTAACTTTATATTAGTTAAAACATTTAAGTGCAGTTTACTATAAAAAGCATAGTTAGCATAAGTTTACTATAAAGAGTTTAAATTTTCTGTTTTCTGGAACAAAAATTTAACTTTAGTAAAACAATACACAACAAAAGTACTAATAATAACACCATCCATGCACTCGCAGAGATGGTTATTTTACAGTTTTTGATAAAATTAGTCTTTCTAAGAACTGCTAAAGACTTTGAAGGTCATACTTTTAAACTACCAGACTTTGAAGGTCACATTTTTAAACCAAACTTAATAAGAGATATTTTGTTTAAACTGTATTATCCTATTTGTTTAAACTGATTTTATCCTTTACATTAAACATATACTGTATAATTTTATCCTTTAGCCCAAAAATGTTTTTGGTCTAAAAAGAAAAATATCTTATTTAGTTACAGCTGCAGTTTTAAAAAAATTAAATCTGCAAATTTTTGATTTTTGTATTTTATTTTGCTGCTTCTGTTCTTCAAATAAAGTCATTGAAAATGTACAAGTAACTCAGTTTCAATTGGTTCTCTTTTAAAATAATGGATTAAGTCGCAACTCACAAATGTTGTGACCACTTTCTAAATATTTCAATTTAGTTTTGTTTGCTGCAATATTTATTGCCTAAAAAAACATAACTAAATCCCAACTCATGTTTTGAGTAGAGTGATTGTCATAGTAAATAGTGATTTTCAGTTTGTTTTAATTTTCTAGCAGTAACAAGTTCAAATTTCTTTGCACCAAATTTTTCTTTTCGTGCTAAACATTTGAAACTTTTTTTTCTTTTTCTTTTTTTTTTTTTTTACAAATTTTTCAGTGTATTTAGTTATTGGTTGAAAAAAATATTTGCTTTTTGTAGATTTTCCATTTTTGGCAGCATATTTTTTGTAATTGATTTTCTGCAAAAAAAATATTACTTTTTGTAAATTTTTCATTGTTGATAGCATATTGATAGCTTGATAGCATTTGTTGGTATTTACATTTCTGCTCAAGTTCACATTTTGAAAATTTTTAGTGATCCAGGTGTGACAGGTTTTCAGCGGTTTTTGAAATCCAAGTGTGATCACAGTTTTCATAAAATGATGAAACAAAAGATTATAATTATAAAATGTAGTTGCAGAAGAAGGAGAAAGCCATATGTGTATAGTGAGGCTTGATTCGTAAGAAAAAATAAAAGCTTCCTAAATAAAACCTGCCTCAATCCAGTTAAATATCTAGAAGTCACAATTTATATCAGAGAGTCAAAAGATATTGCTGATTGTCATGAAGAAAATTACAAAAAAGTAATTCAGTCAAAGGTAGTAGTAAGAAGTGAGATGATAGTGTGAATCTGATATAAGTCATAGATAAAAAATATTGTTCTGAACCACCTAAAAGTCATAGATAAAAAATATTGTTCTGAACCACCTAAAAGTCATAGATAAAAAATATTGTTCTGAACCACCTAAAAGAGAACGAGGAGAAACTGACCACAAAAATAAGAAGAAAAAAAAAATGATCTGTATGTAAATTACTTTTTTTTTTTTTTTTTCTGCGCAAATCAAATGTTAGAGTACATCAATATAGTACATATTAAAAATTGACGAAAACTTAGTACTTACTACTGCTACTGTTTTATATGTTGTTGTTTGTTGAGCGCTTTCAAAGTGTATCTATTGTAAGTGGTATTTTTAGATCAGATCAAAATACATAAATAATCCAAGTAGTTTAACATAAATGCTATAAGGTTGTATGATTGTGAAACAACTTTTTTTTGGTTTGTAAACATTGCATTAGTATGACGGTTGTTTTTGTAGGTGTATTTTATTATTGAAAATTAATTAAGAAATCAGAAAAAGAAAAAAAGTTTTTTTTAAAAACAAGAATAGTTATAATAAAAGTAAATAAAACAAATAAAAATAAACAAAGAAAGATTTAAAAAAGAAAAAAGAAAGAAAGGAACTTAACATTGAAATAAAGAAAAAAATAAATGATAATTTGAACGCAATCCAAATTAAAAAAAAATGCAATCAAAATCAATCAAAAAAAAAACCTTTAGGTAAAATCAAGATAATAAAAGATGATAAAAAAAAATTGTTAACAAAATTATTTTTATTTGTTTATATTTGTATTAATTTCTTAGAATTAATGTTTTCTTTTTTCATGCACATACGCATTATATTGTAATGTGGGATAATCACTTTTGTGACGGTATTTGTTCCTTATTTGTTTTTGTTTTGTTTTTTTTTTATATACATCTCTAAGATTTAAGTGTTTTAAAGATCAAACACCCTTTGATCTTCAGATCAGGCTAAAGTTACACAATAAAACTTTAGAGTTCGATCCCCATAGCATCCTTGGTAGAATTGCGTTTAAATGCGCAATGACCTTGTTTGTAAGATTCATATTTTTCAGTTATTAAGTTGTGAAGTTTTAACAACAATTTAAAAAAAATGCTTTTTTGATTATATTGGTTGGCTGGTGAAAAACATTTAAAAAAAGATAATAAATCAGTATAAAATATATAATAGTTGTAATGTGCAATATATTATTTTATATTTATTTATAGTTATATTTAGACTTATATATTTAAAAAAACTTTAATGCATTGATGCAGGAATGAGACAGTTAGAATTTTAGTCAAAGATTGTAGATACTCATAAAAGTAATTTACATAAATTTGCAGACCATAATATAATTCCTGCCTGTAAACTCCAAGACAGATTATTTTCAAAAGTTAAACCAATTAAGAAATCACAAATTTAACTTTAGGCACAATTTTTTGACAATCATTGAACTAAGTCTCAGGTTGTTAATACACAACATTTGTGTAAAAAAAATGTCTGCAAATAATTTTTTTCTTAGTTCTTTGATATTTACAAACTTTTCACAGCATTTTTGTAAAGTTATATAAACAATTTGTAAACATATCGAAATATATATGAAAACATAAATAAATATATAGATTTTGCTCATAAACATTATCAACATAATGTTTATGCGCAAAGTCACACTTACAGTATTTCTTCAAACACAATACACAGTGTTTGTTCAATTACGATACACAGTATTTCTCCAAACACAATGCAGTAACTATTTATGTTGTAATTAACTATTATATTTGTGAATTTATTTTATAATGTTTGTAACATAATAATGAGTATACAAACATATTCTTAGGTTTGTAGATTCATTGTTATGTTATTTATCATTTGCTTTTATTGCATGAAGTGGCAGAATTTATAATCAATTATTCCTATTTTTTATTATATTAATATTATAACCATTATTTTATTATTATTCTATTTATTCTTGTTAGTAATGTCTTTATTTTATTTTTACTTCTTTGTTAGACTTTTATTTGAGTGACACCATCCTTATAATTAGGTTTTATTATTATTAAATCATAATTTATTTAAAGTCGTGTACAATTTTTTTTATAGATTAAAAAAGTAATAATAATAATAAAAAAAAGTTTTTAAGCAAATACATGTACTTTGAAAGTTGTTCTTTATACATATCATTTGAAAGTTGTTTTTTATACATATCATACCAACTGTAAATATTATTTGCACAAACAGCTCAATGAGAGATTTGTTTTAAAATATTTCATTTTGTTCTCTTTTGATGAGACTGCATCTCATTAAGTTTAGGTGCCATCCCTTGTCAAAAATTCTTATAGGATATCCTATAAAAAGGATATAGGACATTTTTATAAGAATAATACAAACTATAGGAATTTCTTTAAGATAGGATTCTTGTACAATCCTGTTCCAAAATCTTATAGGAGTCTTATCTTATAAAACACCAGATATAAAAGTGCTATAGGTATGGACAAACATAAATTCTATTCAATCCTGTTCCAAAACTTAATAAGAGTTTTATCCTATAAGACACGGAATGAACATAATCTTATTGTTTTATATTTACTGAAATCCTACTCAATTGAGTAGGATTTAAGTAAATATAAAATAAATAAAAAACTCCTATAAGATTTTGAAGTAGTGGTGCCAAATTAAATATTATAAAATTAATACTTAATATTTCTTAAACCTTCTTTGAGTCCAAAGATGGCTTGCTACCTTTGGCTAAATTACATCGAACAATGAATGATTTGATAAAACTTTACAAAAACCTCAATTGCTATGCTTGTTATTAGCTTATTGTTGTTATTAAACGCAAAATAATTTCAGGCAAATTAAAACCTAATGGAATATATTAAATTCCATTACGTTTTAATTTGCTTAAAATTGGCTGGACAAACACACGTTGTAATGTTAGCTGAATATAAATTTACAGGGAGAAAGTTTTATATTTAAAAAGCCTATAAAATCTAACAGGACTTATTAATTACTTTCTTCAGGATAGGAGTCCTATAAATCTTGTAAGAAATATATGATTTATATAGGATTGAAATATATGATTTATACAGGATTACACTATTAATACTATAGCAGTTTTAATCTTCCAATTTGAATACTATAGGACCTATAGGACTGCAATTGCGTTCATATAAGTATCATATTGGTCCCATAAGAATCTTATAGCAGCTATAGGATGCATATCTCTAAGCTATAGGATGCGCCATCTCTAAATCTCTCTCTCATACACACAGAATATATTTAAAAGTAGAATACATTTAAAATTATTTGTATAGTATGTATGCATGTATGTTAGGGTTGTTTAAAAAATGTGAAATTGCTCACAATCTCGACTAACTTTTCTAATATATATATATAGCTTTCTAGATATTACCCATGTGATGGCTAATGCGAAATTTTATTTTTCTACCACAACTCTAACGGCACCCCCTTCCCCCACATTTAAAAAGACTTCTATAGTGCATATAAGAAATGTAAGGTGAGGTTCACAAATCAATCAGGCAATAATAGGTCAAAAATTGACTGCTCACGAACCTAGTAAAGCAAAAAAAAACAATTGCACCCTTATACATTCAAAAAATGTACCAAAAAATGGCTTTTTAGTCGTCCAATCAGGAGATTTTCTAAACACTATCCAAAATGTCATTTGTTGCACATTTAAGATTGTTTTTAAGGAAAAAATTCTGAATCAGAAAATGATTCAAAAGACTTTCTTCCACATTGTCCAAAACAAGAAAATTTTAAATAGTTTCTTTAACTCTTCCAAGAAACAATTTTGACTTTAAAATTGTTGCAGCAGCTGATCAAGCTGAAATTTCAAGCAATCGAACACTTTTTCTTGGGTCTGTTTTGATAAAAGCAGAAGTTTCGAAGGATGATATATCTTTTAGTAGATCAGCTGTGGAATGCACCCACAAAAAATTTGAGAAAAGAAGATGAATTACACATCAGAGAGAGATTTCTCTCGCCAGAGTATTCTATTTTTCGCTCGGGTGGAAAGTTCTTGCAAATTGAAGAAAAAATATCAGACAGACTTGCTGCTGTACTTTTGGGAAACACCTCATACTGTCTACTAGAAACTTTTCTTGGAGTTCAAAACTTGAAATTAGAAACAGTTGACTCGCAAAAAATGCATTCGTCTTTTGCAACAGTAAAGTTTTGAAAAAACAACTTGTTAGTTAAAATCTATCAAACATATGCATAAAAAAAAACATTAGGCGTATCGAGGGGGACGCTAGAATTGTGAAAAATAAAATTTCACTTGTCATCACAGGGGTAAACTACGAAAGGTTTTGGTCGAGATTCTGAGCATTTTTTGAACAACCCATGTATTCATATACACACCTAAATTGTAACACAACTTTATATAAAAGTTTTATTATTTGTTAAGACGACATCAACAATGAAGGAGGACGTTCAAGATATGCTTGTTAAACATCACTTGTTTAGTTGGGATTTATAAGTTTGATTATGATGAATCAATTATGAACGCGTTTTCATTAATAATAGCCAGTTAATTATATTATGAATTATTTTATCGATTTTTTTTTTTTTTAACAAAATTAGATAAATATACTATGTTTTGTTCAAAAATTCGAAACTGAGAACATAACTTGTTTTTTTATACTTGCAGACATTTATTTGGCGTCGTATTGCGCTAAATATTACACTCAAAAACTTATTTTATAAATAAATATATATTAGATCTATATATAATTGTTTGTGTTTTATTTTTGGTGAGCTTTTAAATTTAATTTTTTTTAATTTTTGTATGGGCATTTTTTAAGTTTTTTTTTTTTACTAATAAATCATTTTTATATATTTTTTATAAGTTTTGCTTTTAAATTTTCAAATTTTAAATGCAGAATTAAATGCTTTAGTTTTCTAAAGTATTCTTCGTTACTTGTGGTTGTTATTTATGGGGAGTTTATTTAATTAGGCATTGTATTTATTGAATAAAATTGGATTTATAATATAAATACGTGTATAAATCTTCATATATAAATAAATGATACATACAAATCTTTTTTGTTTTTTATCAGAAATATTTTCCTTAGGTGATTTAGTTAAGCACAAGGTTAAATGAAAACTTATTTGAAGACTACTGTTTTAAATTACTAATTATTCCATTGTTGATAATAGAGTAAACCACCCAGTGCACGGTGTGTCAGAGTAGGGTTCGGACTATTGTAATGAAAACAATAACAGAAACAATAACTATTGTTATTGTATTAACTTTTTTTAGAAACCATAACAATATTTGTGATTTACAATTATTTTTATACTGTAATATAATAACAATAAATATTGTATAGTAATTCATCATAATACAATAACAATATCTGGAAAAAAAATGTATGACCTATGTAATGACCCACTACAATAACAATAATTATTGTAATTCATCTTTATAATACAATAACATTTATCGTTATTGTAATAAAAAAAATTGTATTGTCAAAGTTTAATAAATGTTTTAACAGTCCAGTCTCCGAGATATGTGACCTTTATAAAGGGTACAACTAATATATAATTATTGATTCTATATTTATTTTATTTACTGAATATCACTTGTCTTCGTTGCAAACTTTATATAGCCCGATAAAAGTGAGTTTGATCTGACCTGTACTTCTTTTATTGCTGGGGATAGACATGATCAATTACTACCATTTCTTCCACTTAGTTATTTGATTTTACATTAGGCACCAATTGTTTCGAAACTCAACTAACACTTACTCTAATTTAACTTTGTCTTTTGTTTCCCTGAGGTTTTTATGGTTGTATGTGTTTCATAAAATAACTGGACTTTTGGATTTAGTTGCAAAGTTATGCAAGAATTTTGTTACATAAATCAAAAACAATATTTATTTGGTATTCTAAATTGCCTCATTTTTCAAAAATGAGCTCCTACAAAACTTAGTGGTACGGTCTAACAGGTGATGAACAATCTGAAAATGTAGAAAAATTTTTTGCAAAACAAAAGTAATTCATATTTTTAGACTATCTAATCGATAATTACCCAGGTCAATGGTTCTCTGATTCTATAAAGATGTAATTGATTACACATTAGCGGTTAGATATATTGAAAAAAAAAATGATTTTCACACGCTTCATGTATTTAATTAGTTTAGACGTCATCATCCGGTGAAACATTTCAATATCAGTTTAGACTAAATTATAAAAAAAAGCAAAAATTTCGCTTCACAAAGTAAATAATTATTTAATTACAAGCATATGATAAATTATATATTTGTATGATTTTGAATGAATATTATCAATGTTAATTCTAAATAAATTATTATAAACATATATATATATAAAAACAGTTATATTATTGAACTCAAAATAAATAAAATTTATATATGTAATTGGTTGCTAGAAACGGGTGCCACGAGCGCCCCTGAACTTAATATTTATTAAGTATACGTAATATATATGCTTCTTTGGCTTTCCTGCCTTCACTTCACTTCTCAAAATAAATAAAATTTATATATATGAATGACTGCTAAAAACAAGCGTCGCTGGGCACCTATGAATTTTCTAGCGCCTAAATAATAATAAATGCTCGGAAAAAGAATCTAAATACTTTAAAATATTAAAGCTATTGGACTTTGAAGTAGTAATAGTTATTGTTTTTCATCCCAGCAATACAATACAATAGTTCATTTGTGAAAGTAACTGCACCTTCTAATATCGTGTGCAATCCTAACCGCTTTCTCTATGCCATCTTTCTAACTCGACTGCATCTGTCTTTCACTCTAACATACCTTTGTTCTTCCCAAATTCACTTACTCTTGGGCCGTAGAGCAGGTAATGACGCTCCCAGGAGAGCTGAACTTGTCTTTGAGGGCCTTGGTAATGTGGCCTCTGTATGGCAGCTAGCCGGAGGAGGATAAACCACAATACCTATAATACAATAGATTTAGAACTTCAATGTAGAAAAAAAACAATACAATAGTTATTGTAACTGTTTTTAATCACAGCAATACAATAACAATAAATAATGTTTTAATTACATTTCTGGTTTTACAATACAATTATTGTATTGTAATGTGTTATTGTATTTAATTTTTACAATTACAATAGTCCGAACCCTAGTATTACTTCCTTAACAAGGAAGCAAAAAAGTCAACAAGGAACTTGTGGTATAAATGCTTAATAAAGTGAATGCCCTTAAATATAAATTTTGTTGTTTATATATATATATATATATATATATATATATATATATATATATATATATATATATATATATATATATATATATATATATATATATTTTATATATATATATATAAAAAAACCTTTCGGGTTTTAAAAAAATTTAACGCAAAAATTGAATAATCGAGTAACGGCGAAAAGTTATGCTGGTGTTCTATCTTCTTCTTCATCTTCATCAAACGAGTCTTATGCAAAAAATAATCTTGGAATATTTAAATCTAACATTTCTTATGATAATAGTAACGTTTTGATTTGTAGGTATGGTGATATTAATTTTAGTGTAAATGATTTTCTCATGGCGTAATCTGAAAAAAAGCTGTTAGCTTTGGTTTGGGGAGTAACAAGACATTACTCCAACAAACTTTTTGAGTTTGCCGTTATTAACAGTTCCTCATTGGCTTTGTTTTTGGGAGCTGAAATCGAAATTAAAGGTATTCATTTACGGTTCGAAGAAAAGTATGTTCGTAAAGTTCACGTACTTGTCCAAAACATACCAATCGGAGTACTTAGAAATGGATGCCAAGGTGCTGTCATTTTGCTAGGCAAACACCTTGCGAATGGTAGAGGAGAATTTGAACTGTTTTATTTGCAAAAGGTTAAAGTTCAGGGCGAAGATATATATACTGGAAATGTTGTTATTATAATAAAGAATTGGAAAAATCCCAGTCAAAATCCTTTACCTAGATACCAAAATGTGGATGGGCTAACACTTCGCTATAAACACCAAGGACAACAAGAAACCAACTTACAAAAACTTAACCCAAACAATATACCCTTAAAAACAAAAACAGATGAATCAACTAACAACAGCGATAAAAACGAAATCAGCATTAACAATGCAAGTGAAGACATTGATGGCGGCGGTGAAAGTGTCGACATCAATGTTGATGCAGAACATAAGAATAACGAAGCTCGTTTAAAAATTAAACCAAAAATCACCCAATCAACAAGAAAATGTCTCGGGCAATCAGAAGGCGAAATCCCTAAAAAGGTTATTAACACAACAGATTTAAATCACAAAAATGCGATGGCAAAAGAAGAAGATATTATACGTCGTGAAAAAGACAAGATTTTTCAAGACGACGAGTCCGACAATCTAATTATAGATGAGGAATATGATAGTCAATTATGTGCGGAAAAGAAATCGTAAGATTTTTCCTTTTTCCTTTTATCTCGTAATTTTTTAATTTTTTTCTTTTTCAAATCTAATGTGTTTTTTTCAAACTTTTTTATTCTTAAACTTAATTTTTTTTTCTTTCTATAAAAAAGTCTTTCTTTTGAGTTTTTTTCTGTTTTAATTTTATCTTTCTCATTAATTATGCATAACCAATTTTTGAATAAGCACTTAAGCTGTGGTTTTTTGTATTCTTGAAGTTCGCGCTTTTGTGTAAAACTGTAAAGTCCAGTGCGTCCATCTGTTCGTAATACGTCAGTTAAATCGAAAACTCGTGCTTTAAGATTAAGGTTTAAATTTTTGTCAGGTTGTAAACTTATTATATTTATGTTTAAGTTACACGAGTTTTCTAATTAAGAAAACTGATCCTCTCCATCATGGCTATTAATTTTTTAACATGCAACATAAACGGTCTAAACGACCAAACCAAACGCGACAATTTTTTTGGTTTTCTTAAAAAGTCCTCCTTCGATCTTATCCTCTTTCAGGAAACAAAATCTGGACCGTCCACTGTAAAGCAGTGGGGTGATGAATGGACTGGTGAGTCCATTTGGAACTCTGGTCCAAGTCACAGTTGTTGCGGGGTGGCGATTCTCTCTAAACCCAATATTTCTGTAACCGAACTAAAACGGGACACTAACAGTAGAATATTAAACGCCATGATAAAAATTGATGAACACGAAATGCAAGTGCTGAACATTTACGCGCCTAATGTGTCGAGAGAAAGGGGCCATTTCTTTGGCGACTTAGAGATTTCTTGCAGGACACAGGACTACCCGTCCTGATGGCCGGGGATTTCAACATAGTCGAATACCTGCCTCTTGACACAGAAGGCTCGAACAATGCAAAATATTACACCTACAGTATTGCTGAACTTGGGGTCTTCCAAGTTAAGTATAACCTAGCAGATGTTTTTTGTTATAAGTTTCCCAACAAAAGAGAATTCACATGGCGCAATCAGACGGTTAAATGTAGACTCGACAGAATCTACTGCCCTGATGAAGTCGCCAAAAAAGCAACATACACCAAAATTCTCATCAACCCCTTTTCCGACCACGAATTCGTGTCAACAACTGTCAATTTTAGTAAAACTAGGAGAGGACCAGGATACTGGAAATTAAATTGGTCTCTATTGGAAATAGAAGTGCATAAGCAAAAAATTGTACTCTTAATTCAAAATTGGCAAACAAAAAAACGGTCCTACGAGTCTATTTTAAAATGGTAGGACGACTGCAAACTTTTTGTAAGGGCTGAATTACAACACATTTTGATACAGGAAAGTGCGAAAAACAAAAAACACATCAAAAGGATTGAAAACGAAATCCAACGGGAGCGACAAAACGCTAACCCGAATTTAGATAGCATCAAAGAAAAACGTAATGCTCTTTTCTTGCTTCAGTTTCCAGGAGCGTTTATTCGCACGAAGCAAAAGCTAATCCAAGAAGGAGAAACGCCTTCAAAATTTTGTATAATTTGGAAAAACTTCAACAGCGGAACAAGTCAATTACCGAAATTCGCAAGAATGACGGCACATTGACGAGTGAACCTGGTGAA